CCACAGTGCCTTTCTTTATGGCTCGAAGGACCATGTATGAAAACTCACCTTCTAGGTCACTCACACTTTTTGTTAAAACGAAAAATGCACAAGATTCAATATAATCGTTATAAAGGTTTTATTTGATGCAAAATGCACTCAGAAATGGTTGTTACAAAATTAGTTTAAARCATTAAATATATATTATGTACCATATATGTATATATAAAATGAACAAAAATGGATAACAGCCGGTTTTAAAAACGTTAAATATATATATATATATAGGCGAGTAACTGCGGAAGGGAACCGGGATGCTGAGATGCTGCGAAAAGCGGAAGTGTATACCGATCGACGTCGTATCAACAAAAGGGGGCGCGACATCCTTTCTCTTTTCCTTTTATTCTAATTAGAATGAAAAATGTCATCGCGTTTGGATGCATGCGCGTGTATGTGTGTTAATGTGTGGTGTTCTCTCGCGTGATGATTTGAATGGTTGATTCGGTGTGGTGAATTGATGTGAATGTGATGCGACGTCGCTACTCATTTAGCCACCACTATGCTCTACAATCGGATGCTAGAGCACAGTAACAAGCTTCAACAATTTCACTAAAAAACCGGGGTTGTGACTTATTCCTTACGGCTACATACTGTCCACCTCGTTTTAAAATTACAGATCGCGAATTTAAAGACTTTTTGGAAGAGTAGGTCAAAGATTTCTAGCAGGTGGAGATTACAACGCAAAACGCACATACGGGGGGTCATGTCCTATTAATCCGAAAGGACACAACTGTACTACAATATTGTGAATAAGCATAAGCATAAGGCCCAGTGATAGAAAAAAAAATACCAGTCTTATGATATTACATTTTGCTGTAGTCAAAATATAGATAGATCACTTATGACAGCTGATATATGCACAGAGCTATCATCTGATCATTCACCTGTACTAATAATGGTATACGAACAGCCCATAATATTTGAGCCAACATTTTTTTCTACAACTCGTAAAACTAATCAGTTAAAGTATTCACAATATATCAGCAGCCTCATCAATATTGATTACAAAATAAATAGAGGGAGGGTCATTGATGAAAGTGTAACAGAGTTTAATTATGTAATAACTAATGCAGCTGTATTGGCAACACCAAAAAACAATAATCCAGTTGGTTTTAGAAAGATCGCTAATACCACAGTACAACAGCTAATCTGTTGGGTGAGAAATTCCAAGTCAGGGTGATGGTACTAGGTCAGTATAGTAAAACCCTCAAAGGGTTTGGCGTTCGTATGTGTCAGTTTTTTTTATGACCTTTTAAATTTTTTCCTTATTTCCCATGGTTTTCCATCTTAACAAGTTAACTTTTTCCAATGAGGCGTACTGATAATGATCCAGATATACGAAAGCTGATTAAAAGTGACGCATTCAACAATATTTTGATTGATATTGTATATTGAATGGATGGCAGGCAATCAAAGTAATAGAAGGCTTGTTGGGAAAGCGTCGTTCTAAAAATTACGATGTTTCTGTCGCAAGGATGTTAAGAGCATTCTCGGAAATTGGTTGTTTTTTTTTGCCATGTTACAATTAAGCGAAAAAACATCAAGATAAGGAAAAAAGGGTCATAAGGTCATAAAAACAAACTGACACATAAGAACGCCAAGCCCTTTGAGGGTTTTACTATACTGACCTAGTACCATCACCCTGACTTGAAAACTTGAAAGCTTGTAAATGAGAAAAAGGCGAGTGAGACGTGAATGGCAGTTAAGTCGCTTCCCTTAAACTCTGCTTCAACTGAAATCTGCTGCACGTAAGTTAAAAAAGCGCCTAAACGCGAGGAAAAACACAACACTGAAAATTTTATTAAGACACTGTGTCCAAATTATAGCAAGCAAAACTACCTTTGGAAAGCCCAAAAGCCTTTCAAGCCACCATTAGATTTTAACATGCCGTTGAATGGTAATTGCCACGCAGGATAAGGCAAATTGCTTTCCAAGTAACTTATCCTGGTATTCACCTAGATAGAAGACTTACATGGAGAAAACATTTGAAGCACTGCATCTATAACATTTGGAATAATTTTCTTCAAAATTAGTATTTGAAGCTTGCTAATCATATATTATAGAAGCAGTGCTTCAAATGTTTTCTCCATGTAAGTCTTCTATCTTCATATAATAAAGATTGGGTCATCTAACAAAACGTAATTATGGACATAATGAATATAAAGCAATTCGATAACTTATTTTTTCTACATGCAGTTAACTGTATGTGTGCATGTTTTCCTTTTATAAAAACAATTAACTTCTCTTTTTTTTAAATTACTTTAATTAGATACTTTGAAATATGGTCTATATAACAAAAAAAAATTGGTTTGAAAAATAAAAACTTTTAAATTTTATTAACTTCGCTGATTTATATTTCACTATGATAACTTACTTTTTCTACCTACTGTACATTTGTCGGACGGCGGTCAGTATGCAGGTCGCAATTACTATCGGAAACAAAAAAATCAAAGAGATTCATATCTGTTAATAACTTATGTATGTTTTAGTTGAACTAAGAAAATTTAAAAAAGTGTAAAATTCCAAAAAAAAAATTTTAATTTGAAAAAAATAATTCAAACTTAACTTTTCACTCTTTCCCTTCTGCTTCGACAATATTTCGAATTCCCGTCTATAACTTTGGAGACATATTCCTAGATAATTTTTAAAGAATGTAACCAAAAAAAATTTTTGATTTTTTGAAGTTTCAAAAACTAAAGATTTGCAAAATGTAATAAACGTAATTTAACACCTAAATGCGTCTTTATTCATTCGATAAATGTTACCTTAAAATCTTCCCTTAAATCGGAAATCATCCACCAACACTATCGTATACACCCTGCGAAATAAGTATAAAGGCGGATGTTTTTCTTATCATTACTCTCTTGATTTGCAACCCATAAAATAACTTTTTTTTGCAAATGCGTAATTGAATTCTGTGGAAACTTTAGGTAATATTGATAGATAAGTTTTGCTCATCCTTGTGTGTGTATGAAAAATTAAACGCGATTAAAATCGTTAGGAAGTGCGAAATAAGTATAACGGCATTGTGAAAATTAATATTTTAAAAAAATTATACTGACAGTACAAGGAAATACAAGTAGGTATGTATCTCTTATTTTAGTCTATTTTTAATAAATAACACAAGTATTTTATATTTTATWTGTAAACATTTCAGAATGCCACGCGGCAAACCATTAACCTTTGAGGAAAGGGGAAAAATTTAAGCGTATCATGAAGAGGGACGGTCGAATCGCGATATTGCGAGGCGGTTAAACAGATCTAGCTGTGTCATCGACAACTTCATAAAAWTGGGCCATCTATATGGGGRAAAAAGCGACCAGGACGGACATCAAAGATCGACAACAGGACGAAAAGGGAGGTTTCCAGGCTTGTAGTGAAGGAAAACTTAGGCGCAAAAGAGATAGTTGGAGAAATGGACWTAGGAGTAGGTGTGCGACGCGTACAACAAATTTWAAAAAAATATTTAACTCTCTCCTACAAAAAAAAATGTTCCAAACCAGCACTGAGAAGAAATTAATTTGGATGGGACGGATGGTGCAGATAAGTATTGCYGCAAGAAAGGCACACCCAACTAAAAACGTCAACGCCGAAACTTTGGAGGTGGTTCTCTAATGGTTTGGGTGGGAATAAGTTACCGAGGAACTACACCTATCTGCTTCATTAGCACCAAGATGGACTCCGATTATCATATCCAGCTTCTAGATGATGTCTTAATATCGTTTGGAGAAGATATATCTGTTCCAGAATATATTTTTCAGCAGGACAACGCAGCAATCCACCGTTCAAGGAAGACAAAAGAATTCCTATTAYCCCGGGGAATTCCAAATCTCGATTGGCCTGCGATTAGTCCTGACAACAATGGAGGAACATTGAGCCATCGTACATTCGTTCTCTCATTAACTCAATGCTAAAGCGTTTGGAAGAAGTTCTAAACAATAACGGAGGACATATTTCTTATTAAATTAATAAATATTTACGTAAGAAACTAAACTACTCTTGTGCCTTTATAATTATTTCGCACTAGATTTGAATTTTTTTTGTTGATTTTTTCTCTATGGAGCTCAAATGGTTAAAAATTTAATTTTTGTTCATTTGTTTTTAAATCGTTCTGAAATACATTAATATAATTTRTAAATTAAATCACAAAATATTAGAAAGTTAGTTTTTTAAAAAATCTTTTTGTAGTGCCTTTATACTTATTTCGCAGGGTGTATATATAACCAATTGGGACATTTATTTCATTACAACTAATCTCATTTTTCTTCTTTTGAATTAATAGATCTTTATTGTATTTTTACTTTTTTATTAAATAAGTTATGTATAATTTCATGSTTTATTAAAAATTTTTTAGATTCCTTTTCTGTTTTGGAGTCGATTCGTACTAAACTAATTTTTTTATGGTATTAATTAAGTTGCTCATCTATGAAGTTACTTTTAACCTCCATTCGGACAACGCATGTTTACAATTGTATATACTTTTATTGCTGATTGGTAAATTCTATTTGCCCGTTCACATTTGGTAAAAAGTAGGGGTGAGCCATTGCTTCACATGCAGTCAACCTTTGAACATGATCATAACGCAAAAGCTTATCAAGAAAATCAAGGGCCTCTGGTGAAACAAGATGCTGATTATCCGAATGGACAAATCTTTCCCACCTCTTTCGAGAGTGCCTTTGTAAAATGTCATGGAATCGAGGATCTAGTTCAATATTGTATTTATCTAAATATGCATACAATTCTTCAGTGCCAAGCACTTTGGCAATACGGACATAGTTGAAGCTAACATACAGCCCAAAGACCACATATCTAATGAGTAATCATACATTTGATAGTCAATAAGCATTTCCGGCTCTTTGAAATATCGAGATGCCACTCGAACATTATACTCCTGGCCGGGATGATAAAATTCTGCTAAGCCCCAATCAATCAGGCGCAATTTACGATTTTCGTGATCAATCATAACGTTATGAGGTTTTACATCCCTGTGCATTATGCCCATACTATGGCAATAGTCCAGAGCTTTCAGTAATTCAAATAAGTAATAACGGATCTCATAGTCCGTTAAAGTTTGATAAAGTTGTTTAAAATCGGTGTTATTGACGTGCTCAAATATCAAAGCGGGAGTACGTGAAACGGGGTCTTTTACAACCGCTAATAGAGTAATTATATTAGTTCCACCTCGCAAATTCTCTAATATTTTTATTTCACGCTTAATTTTCTTCTTCTTTACGGGTTTGAGGATTTTAACCACACACTTCTCCGTCGTTGTAATATTAATAGCTTCAAATACTTCCGAGTATTTGCCACGACCCAATTTTCGAACCAGCTGGTAATCATCCTGGTTAGCCCATTCAACTACATAATTCTCATAGTCCCAATACTCGTCCGGTTTGTGTGCATTCACATCTGTATAAACTCGGGCAGCACTTGGGAGTGTCATATTTCCAGAACTGATTCTACTCTTCGTCAAAAAGTTTGTTATGGCAGAGAAATCCTGATTTGGAACGACTCCTCTTACATTTATGACAGAGCTTCTAGAGTCTGTACAACAGCTTCTCCGAAAACGGTTTTGACACAGGCCACTGGAAAATGAAAAAAGTACAAAAGTCAACATTAAATAACTGTTTTGTTTAATTTGTTTAGGGTAAGTATGGTAAACTAAAGTGATACGTAATACGATATTGACTACTTATTCCTAATCTTAAGTAAGTAGTAGTTAAAGAAAATGGAAAGTGGCTTAATGGGCTCTTAGTGAAACTTAAATAAATTTCAAATTAATTATTTTGTTCAATTAGAGAAGTCAAGGTTAAAACTAAACAGCAGTGTCGTAATTTGGAAGCAACTTTACAGGTACAACCACTCCTAGCACATGCATATGGATAAAAAATAGTAAAAATCCATTCAATTCATGGGTAAGTCCAACAAATTTTAAGTGATACTTTTTCGTATATACATTAGGCATGAAATACATATATATTTATATTACTTTCTGACAACCTCAGCCAATTCATTTACTTCCTATATTTTCTCTTATAGTTAAATTCATAAAGCATGCCGTGAAGACACACCTTTATCTAAAAAACTGGTGGAATAAAATATGTACTTATTATATATATGCAATAAACTCGATAGATAGTGATTAGTCTTCGACGGGGCGCTGATGAGCGAGCGTCAAATGAAAGTATAACTTTAGTTTTTGTTAATTTTTTGAAAATTTTAATTTTCAAAATTTAATAAAATTGCATTTGTTAAGAAGATTCCTGTTCTATGTGCTTAGTGAAAAATGCGGAAAACTGAAGAAATTCGGAATTTAATAGTAGAAGTTAGGATGAAAATATCTGAAAAATATTCCATTACAATCGGAGAAACAAAAAGACTTGTGAAAACATTAAGAAGAGAAAGACAACCAAAACTCAGTACCGTGGAGGTCCAAAGCGCAAAATTTCCCTACACGTTGGGCTACGAAGAAAAGTTGGTTAAACCCATGAAATTTCATCGAGGGAGTTGATCGAAAGTTTTGATGTGGATGGTTCAATTAATACAATCCAAAGAAATCTGCAAACATTTGGCTTGAAAACTTATGTTGCAAAAATCGTGTAATAGATTTTTATTATGGGTTATTATTATTGTATTTAATTCGCTCATATTCAAGTTTAAAAGAAATATGATTTATTTAAAGAATAAGATAAAGTTCTTCTTTAAATAAATAAAAAAGTTTGTAAATRAAAATTTCAGCTGTGATTAGTAATAGCAGTATTGAAGAAAATAAAGTTTAAACAATTAGTATTTCGTAGAATGACCATTGTTGGATAACAAAACTGCGCATCTCCTAGGCATGGAGTCCACCAAACGCTTGCATTTCTCGAGAGGAATGGCCTTCCACGCCTTCTTCACAGCACTCCATAATTGCTTCGTATTTRACGAATTCTCTTTCAAYACAGCTTCTTTGACCTCTACCCAAAGAGATTCAGAGCAAACCACTTTTTCGCCAACCTGCTGGTATGTTTGGGTTCGTTATCTTGTTGATAGAGCCTTTTCAACGGCATTTTCCATTCAGAGTGTGGTAGCATAGTCGACTCCATTATTTCAACGTTCAATTTGTCATCCATGTTTTCCTTAATCCAAAAAAAAACGTACTTGCCATAGTAAGACAAGCACACCTATATATTGATTTTGGCACCTCCATGTTTTACCGTCCGTGAAACATATTTAGAATCAGTTGAAGCGTTTACTGGACTTCGTACCTTCTATCGGCGTCCTCGGGAACCAAATAAAACAATTTTTGTTTCATCGGACCACAATATGTTGCGCAATTTCTCGACTGACAAATACAGGTGCTCTTTAAGCCACTGCAATTATTTCGAACACAGTTGTAAGTATGTCAACCACTTTTTGGGATAAATTAATTTTGTCGATGAATCCAAGTTCAAGCTAAGGGGTTCATAAAACTGAAACGTTCTTTTAAATACACAGTGCATACAATCAACTATAAATAATGGATGCGGTTCTCTCATGGTTTGGGTCTCTTTCTAAAAATTTGGAGTGGCCAGTTTAGTTGAAATCGATGAACGAATGACCGGTGCTACATATGTTGACATTCTCTGCGAAAATTTTACAATTAGTGCGGAAAAAATGGATTTAGGGTCGTTTATCTTCCAACAAGATACCGACCCCAAATACACATCTCGCCTTGCTACTTGCTTTTTTAAACTTAATTGAAAAACTGAACTGCCCAGCTCAATCACCGAATTTAAATCCTATTGAGCTTTGTGGTAAATTTTAGATTCAACAAGTAAAGAAGGACAAAGTGCGGGTGCAACCCAACATTTTATACTCTTGCAACTTTCAAGAATCAAAGCCAGGGAAATACTTTAGAATAGAATAGAATATTATTTGAGGTAAAGCACCGCGACCTTAATTGTGCCCTCTCCTATACCACATGACCTCCCAGAGCCCCAGCAGCCTGAATAGTTCTATCAGTTTGCCGGGCTTAAGCCTTTTTCCACAGATTGCTGAGCAATCCAGGATTAGGTGTGCTGGTGTTTCCTGTTCTAGGTTGCAGAATCGGCAGTTTGCACAGGTGACCATGCCCATGTTGGACAGGTGCTTCCTGAGTTTGAAAATGCTTTAAGGTGTAAAACCAATCATTTGGAGTAAAGTCAGCCGGGTGTTTGAAAATCCTGATAGTAGTTAGGACAAGTTTTCGCTTAAATTTATCTAAATTTATTATTATTATACACCTCGAAGATCGAAAATCCTTATATTAACTATATGGGGACTTAGGTAAGTATTGGTCCGATTCAACAAATTTTAGACATACAGATATAACATTTTAAGAAAATGATTATCCCTTAATTTCACTTATATGTATATATCACACATTGACCGACATATCAAAAGTCAACTATAGGTACCGAGGTCTAAATATCCGGTACCTAAGGGCTTGCATGTTTTTATTGCCTTTTTGTCATAAGGTGGCAAACACTAAAGACATTATTCGTGCAAAGTTTTATATCGTTATATTAATTAYTTCTTGAATTGTGTACTAGAAACTGAACGAATGAAGTGGAATTTAAAATAGTGCTATATGGGAAGTAGGCGTTGTTGTTGTGCGATGCTATATACTAAATTTTGTCGAAATCGGTTGGGCGGGTCCCGACATATGGGATTTCACCCAACAATGGGCGCCGCCACGTCCAACGTTCAATTGTCACACCAGCTCTCATAAAGCTCTTTCATAAAATCTCGGTGGTAAAATTTAATGTCTCCGGCGTATTATGGATTTATCGCCTTTTAGTAGTTTTTAACAGTACCGTTATAGGGAGTCAGCGGGGTTATCCTCCGATTTCATCCATTTTCGCACTGTCGGTAAAAGTTCTTATAAGATTTCTAGTAATAGCCGTAACAGACGACAGCGCTAAGTTGCATTAGCGGGCTTAATTTAAATTAACTTGGGCATTTGACCCATGTTAATGCAAGTTTGTAATGCACAAGAATTTCGTGCATATAGCTGAATTTTTTATTTGAGTAGGCAACACTGCTCAAAAATGACCGATTTTTGCTATTTTTTGACAGATGTCGTTTGAAGTCTGCTGTTTCCTTTGCGTTTACAGCATCAGAGATAAGCAGTTTTAYATTGCTTATTAAATTATGTGCAAGATTATTAACGAAAACAAATTTTAATATTTTTAGATGGCAGTTTGCTAGCCATCATTCCAATATCCTTAACTTTTTCGGACACTTTTTCCGCATTACAATCAATTGTTGCTCTTAATTTCACTCTATTATCTTTTAACTTAGTTAATAATAAACGAATTTTTTCGTTAAATTTATATGGATTTTCCAAAAATACCAGCATTTCTATTAATGATTATAAGTATAATATAAATTAATAATAATTTCAATTTCACTTTTTTTTTAAATAAATAAACAAATTTCACTATCAGCTGTCTAAATGCACAAGTCTGCCGTCTGTCACCATAAAATTTCAATGCGTATTATCGTTGCTTAAGACGCATTAATTTCGCTCGTCTGTCAGGGCGATAAGCATTTTTTTCTTGTAGCTTAAATGGTTTAGAAGATATGTACATTAACCTGGTTAGAGGGCGGGCCACGCCCACTTTATTAAAAAAAATTTCCCCCAGAAATATTAAAAATTTGATTTGCAGTATCCCGAAACGTCTTCGTGCTGTAATTCGTAATAATAAAAGGTGGGAATACTGATTACTAAATTTACTTTTAAACTTCACGGTATTGTATTTTTTCAAGTTTATACTTTCATTTGATGACATTTGTTAAATAATCCTTATTTTGAAGTTAAATAACAATGTTTTCTTTTGATTTCTGGAAAAATACATTTTCATAAATAGGATTGCATATATGCAATGTTAACTTCTCGTGGATCTGGCACCTACATTAGGGTTGGTCGATTCCGAACTTTTTTCGATTCGAGATTTCTAATAGTGCGGAAAAGTTGCCTTAGTAATTCCTGATTCCAGTGCAACTTTTTGTTTTGAGATCGGATTGCATCTTCAACCCCAACTTCGGCTTTGAAATTTCGGAAATTCGCCTAAAATCGTGAAATTGTCTACCCAGCGCCTGAAATACGCATCTCATTGCAAAATGTATAAAACAAAAGTTATTTGTCACGTCATTTGCTACCGAAATGGTATAAATGATCATGGCCGTAGGACAAACCGTTCACGAGATACGAGCGAAAATGCGGCGCCCACAGCGTAATGTGAAAATTGTTGCAGCTCTCAGCTAACCTGTATTGGTTACCCAGAACCCACCGCGTGGAGGTGGCTGCTCTTCGGGTTTGTCCCAAGCACAACCCAACCAACCAACCATATGTCAGGCTTGTTTTAGTCTGAATCTGTGTMAAATTTATTGATAAAATCAGATTTTGTACTAARCTTTGGCACTTGTTGCCTAGATTTCAGTGTAGAGCGTATAAAACGATCACGAGATTGGGGGCCAATAACTTTAGAAGATGCTTCTGTCACCAGTTTGACGGTTCTCTCCACTGCCACGGTGTGAGAGGGGAATTCACTGAATTTCTATACCTCTGCAGTGTCACCCGACAGCCCTTTTATGAGTTC